CAATTTCCTATAAGATACAACAACAGCACGACAATGCGTTCAAAATGCAGTCTCTTGAATAAGTGAACCTTCCACGCAATGTCTGAAAGAGGCAAGTTTGGGCATGAGGTACTGCACAACGTTATCCAGAAGCAAAATGGCATCTCTTGTTCACGGTCTTTTAAAGACCATATCTCATATTTTTTTGTTCCTCAAGTACATACAGTTCAATGTAGAGAAAAGTAACATTCAGCTTGGCTCTCAAAGTTTGATGCCTCCCTACACATTGTGTTAAAAGTTAACTACTCTCCAAATTTCCCAGTCAATATCATTTATGTGCAAAATAAATGAGTGGGTCTAGTGTTTGGCAAATTGACTATTGCTTCTATTCCATTTATAAGACATCTTTGTCCAGGCTTTCTACTAACAGCAGACTTTGGAATCCTCTGGTACTTACTCTACTGACGGATTTTCTCCCTGCTGTGGTCCCTTCAGGATAGCTTCCCGCCACTCTGAACCATTAACATTTATTGGCATCCTTTTTCTTGGCCTCATGCCTATGTTAGTCAGTCCCTATACCGATACTCTTTCTGACTAGCCAACTTCCTCGCTGATTTACACGGTCACAGCAAGGGTGATCAAATCCGTTTCCTATGTCGTATTTTAGTGGCCTTCTAAGACACAGTTTCTGCTAATCTGTTTGTCAGATGGAATAACAGTTTAAATCAAATGTCTACTACACTCTGCCTATTATGCTACCAGAGCACTATTTAGAGCTCCCTAAAATTCAATAGGCCCACTTCTCCCACTAGCAACTCACTGAAATGACTGAAAGTTTTTCAGGAAGTGCACTGCTCAAGTTCTTCCTAACCATAAGTGGATTAACAGCAGCAAGGGACAGTGTACATTTTGTTCTTTGGTCCCCTTCACTTTTTTCAACGGAAACCTTAGAGCCAAAATAGTTTGGAGATTTTCAGCTCCCTGCACCTTTGGCTCCTTTCACAGCTATTGAAATCATATTAGCCAGTCTCTGCAATTCTTAAGATGGTAATACCATAATTCCTTGCCAAGGGCTTCCCCACTTTCCTTGCTGCAACCATCAATTCATCTTATCGTGATGCTGTGTCAATTTAATAATCTTAATTGTCTAGCGGAGTGTACCTTGGCACTCATAAGCCATCTAAGGTTTCTTTTAGCCAAAGGAAAGCGTATTCTTATCTCTGGAACTTGTTTTTTTAAATGCACAGTAGGGTGAAAAAGGCTTTTAGGCTCTTCACAATGGTAACAGCTCTCAGATCTTGTCCATTCGGTGACTACTGAATCTCTCAAAAAAGCCACCAATTTTGGGGGGGACTGCCAATTTCCTCTTCCAGGCTGCGCATTATCTTGCTCACTGAAGGGGTTTTTTTTCCCTCCCCGCTTCTTCTCTCCACCTTTACCCAATGTCGGTCAGTGTGCATCTCTCCCGCACATCTACCCTATGGATCTAGTTCTGCAAGGCTGACCCACATAAGTAGCAGCACCACTGAAGTCAATGGGTTTACCTGCATGGCTACTACCCAGTGTAATGGATGCAGATTCAGGTCCTATATTAGTAACTACCAATGTGTAAATGCAGCATATGCCAACATCTCTGAACATCTTCCACAGGTCTCTCATAACCGCCTCCCTCTCTAAAATTCCCAACCCAACTAGGTTTGAACTAGCAGAGCTACTATGTTGAAGAGCCCAGTTAGCCAATTCCTTATGTTAAATATCTCCTTCCACTTTAATACATTTTATGGCATTATAATCAGATGCTCCTATTTCTGCTAACAATGAAAAGCACTTTTACTTGCTCAGTTTCACTAGCCTATTGATCAAACAGGCCAAATATTTTTAACATACAAAATACAAGAATTTGTTAAAAACACATCTGCAGAAAAAATTTAAAAACTACAATATATCCAAGTTAGGTTGCTAGGTCTTAACTACTTCAGATCTCTTGCAGAAGCATACCTTGGGGCATGACATAAAGATCTGCCTTTAGCTTAAGGTTGAAGCACTAAGCACATTTTGTGCAGGAAACATCAGCAGAGTAGAGACACTCTCTAGAGCCATAGGTACTACTCTTGCCAAAGGGATGACTGCTCAAATAGAGATTGGTGATGAAATCTGTTACTATGTTCCAACTACTGTTTATATTACAGTAGCATACTGAGTCCCCTTTATGGATCAGGCTACCTTGTTATGCCTAGCGCAAAGAGAATCCCTGCCCTGAAGAACAATCTAATAAGAGAACACTGCAAATTAAAATAGGTTTAAGAGATCTCCTTCCCTGTGTTAGTATCAAAATTGAAGAACATTAAACAATCTATGTTTTGCCATTTATGCTTTCTACTTACTTGGTCCATGTTCTCAACCTGGATCACTTTCTTCATGGCTAGATGGGAGTAGAGGTGGTCCCCAAACTTTTTTTCTATTGTAATATGGGGTCTTTGTATGGAAAAGATTCAGAACACTGCACCTACTCAATGCTACAAATTTGGTTTAAACACGCCTGTGGCGAATGTTTTTTAAAAAAAATTAAAGTTCAATAAAAACATTTCCACTAATATTAAAATGTTGGAAGCTACAGTATGTTAGGCCTCATTTAAACAGTAAGTTGGGGTTACAGTTACCAGATACTGTACCTTAAGACACGACACAAAGGATTGGTCTAGTGGGAGCATTCATCAAGTTTCAACATGAGGAGATTACAGTACTGTCAGAATGACCCTGGCGATTTTGCATTGAACACAGAGGTTTAAGTTCACTGACACACACACACACACGAATGTTCAATGCTGTGGAGAGATCTGTTCTTCATGTTACTCACTTCCCCCTCATATGGGTAACCAAACTATTTTCAGATGAGCTATAGTTTAAGAAAAGCTCCAATCTCAAACTAGTTTTTGCTAAAAACTTCTGTGCCAGAGATCTTAACAACCGCTAGAGTTCAGTGTAAAAGTGTGAGCTGAGCATATCCTAATGATGAATAAGGGATGCCACTGAAAAGTGCAATTGAATAGACCTGAGTATTGGCACATTTGTGGAGGTCTAATCAGTTATCAGACTGATCATTGTCAGAGTAGGTGGTTTAATAATGATGCAAGAGCATTTCCTTCTTTTAAACTGTCAACTTAGTGCAACTAGTCAAACAAACCAGAATCAAAAAAACCTTAAGGCGAAAGCTCTATAATATAAACTCAAACTTGCATTTGCAAAGTAATACTCATTTTTGTTCAGGGGTTCTCTCAAACAAGAGTTAGTTAACTCCTAAATCTTAAAGGGTCAGAACCTGGGCGGAAAAGGTCTCATTGTCTGAATTTGCCTGCTACTGTTGCAAGTAGCAATATAAATGGCTACAACTGAAAGATGTCTATTTTTTCAGTTTTCTTTGGTCCATTTGACACTACTTTGGGAACAAGTGAAACTGCCTAGAAACATACAGCGCCTTTGTCGATTTCTCCTGCTGTTTGTGTGGGTCTGCCAGACAGCACCAAGGGAGAGGAAAGCTATTTTAATAATAGGTAAATGTGATTGTAAGAACCACAGAAGATTAGCATGGAGACTCAGCATGCAGGTGCAGTACCTGAAGCAACTTTTAACTGGCATTTTGAGGCTTAATAGGTATCAAGGCAGAGCAATGTGTAAGTCAGACACTGGTGTCTGTACAGAGCAGATCTCTTCCTACTTAGTGAGAAACCCAGCAGCAGCTCAGGATGTATATTTCAAGATTTCCTCCAGGTTGATCTATATGGAGGCTCTTCTTACAAACCCCGTTGATAATACACACAGAGGGTACGTCCAGACTACCCGCCGTATCGGCGGGTAGCGATCGATTTATCATCGATATATCGCGTCTCGTTAAGATGCGATATATCAATCCCCAAACATGCTCCCCGTCGACTCCGGAACTCCACCGGAGCGAGCGGCAGTAACGGAGTCGACGGGGGAGCTGCGGCCGTCGATCCCACGCCGTGAGGACCCAAGGTAAATCGATCTAAGATACTTCGACTTCAGCTACGCTATTCACGTAACTGAAGTTGCGTATCTTAGATCGATTTCCCCCCCCAGTGTAGACCAGCCCAAAGCCACCCACAGGCATGTAATGCCATTACAAAAAATGCCTTCAAATACACAGCAAGTCGAGATTGCTGAAGAGACTCTAGATACTTATAGATCCCATCTGTCAGAATACAAAGCAGCTGGTTAGCAGCAAGACCCCCTGAATCTGTGCAGTAGGTTAGAGATGTCCAGAGGGAAAGAATAAAGCAAGATCTCCCCCTTCCCCTGCAAGGCTAGTGACTTTATCCATTTAACAGATGGGAAGCTGCACATACAAAGGAACCCAGATAAGGGAGAGGCATATAAAGCACATTCCCCCGCACAGACATTCTCCTCTCTGCACACCCCCTATAGGGACTTTATCCACTTAACAAATGTAGGCTAACATGCAAAGAAAAGGGGGCATAAAGCAAATCCCCATACATATTTCCCTCCCCCTGTACCCACCCCTACTCCAGTGACTATCTTCTTCACTGATGAGGAGCTATATATGCCAAAGAAGTCATGGTGAAGGGGAGGGCTGCCCTATGCCTAGAGCAGCATAAGAACAGGGACAGCCAGGACAAGGACAGCGTGCCCCAAGCATGTGTGGGAGGATATGTGAACACAGAACAGAAGGGCCCCGGGAGGCAGAAGGAAAGACCCTACCGCACACACTGCTGGGGGAGGGGGAAGAGAAAGAGGGGGTGCATAAGGGAAAAGGGGTTCACAGGGGGATCCTGCCCCATGCACTGCTGGAGGGGGAGGACAGAGAAGGGGTGCACGGGAGGAGACCCTGTGATGGAGGAGAAGGACAGAGTGGGGGTGCACAAGGGAGGACCCTACCCCCTGGACTGCTGGAGGGGAAGGGCAGAGAAGGGGTGCGGGGGGGGGGGGAAGAGACCCTGCCCATACAATGCTGGAGCAGCACAAGGCAGGGGTGCAGCCCTCACCTGTAGGCAGCCACCGCCCGGCTCTGCAGGTATTTCTGGGCTGTCATGACCCCCACGAAGAGGAAGTTGCTGGCCGGTGGGATGTCGTCCTGGCGCTCTGCGGGGTCCTGGGGCCAGAGCAGCGTCCCCCGGGAGTCCCTGCGCAGCAGCCCCCCGCCCTGCTGCAGCCGGCAGCCCTCCGGGCTCGCCTTCCGCCGGTGTCCCGCTTTCTTCAGCTCCGAGGCGCGGGGCAGGATGAGTCTCGACGCCAGGATGAAGCCCAGGATGAGTCCTAGCAACACGCTGAGCCAGGAGCGGCGGCTTCTGCCAGCCATTCCCCACTCGCTGCCCGACACACGCTGGCCCCCCAAAATACACCGCGCCCCGGGTGACGGTCCCCTCGCCCGCTGCACGGAGCGCCGACACCCCGGCTTCTGCCAGGGGGGCCACTGCCCTACTCCTGCCCCGGGATCGTCCCCTCAGCCCTGCACCCCGGCGGCAGGTCCCCGCGCCCCCACGGCCTAGGCTGCCCCGCCCCCTGCACCCCCACTGCCCTGCTGCCCCGCCCCCTGCACCCCCACTGCCCGGCTGCCCCGCCCCCTGCACCCCCACTGCCTAGCCTACCCCAAGTCCCGGCCCCCCGCCTCCAGCCGCAGCCCCCCGAGGGTCGCTCTCCCTGCTGCCTATTCCCTCAAAGCCCCCCCCCCCC